TTGTTGTTGTTGTATGCAGTTTCCAGCAAACTTTAATTAATTTTTTTCTATTTGTGAAAATTTCTACGTTATTTAAAGGTAATTTTTATTATAGGCCTATAGACCTTACACAGCATTATTAATATGATTTTGGAGGTTACAGAACTTTAAAATTACTTTAAAAAATGGAAAATAATTATATCATTTGATTTCAAGATATTTTGTATACCTTAAAAATAATTAATTCTATCCCGGGATCCCGGGAAACAGTTCACTTTTATCCCGGGATCCCGGGACAAGCAAAAGACCGGGAAATGAAAAACCCTAGTGTAAAGCAGTGCTGCTCAGACTTGTGGTGCAGACCAAGTACTGACTGCAATAATAGTTTACTTCATAATTTTATATATTACATTAATAAGATTTTTTAAATGTCTTTTAAAAAGTTTTTAAAAAACATTAAGTGTTTTTATTATTTTTAATTATTTAGTGTTAGGGATGAACTGGCTAGCAAAATCAACCTAGGAAATTACTTGAAAAGGACTGCAATTTCATTTTTCAAAATGATTAGAACCAAATTTTATATTTTTTTTACTAATTCAATCTAAAAATTAAAAAAAAAAAAAATGCATCTGAACTCTGTTCTGTTTTAATAATTTTTATTTAATTTCACAAAAATACAGTCCTGGAAAGGATTAGAATGAAAGAAAATGGTCCATGAACATAGTTTGAGAAGAGTATATGCTGATATAGGTTTTCCACACAAAATTATAATACTTTGATGTTTTCCTTTCAATGTTTATAATGTGTGTCCTTGTATTTCTTGATTTTAGCATGCTTTTTGTAATCTTTCTTACAGTAATATTTTTATATTCTGAAATTCCCATTTGAGAAAATTTGGATGTCTTTTTTTCTCAAATTTTCCATTTGTTAATGATTTGTTTTTTAAAAGTTCATAAGAAAAATATCTGGGAAAGCTTATGTATTCTAGTCTCAAGTGTCTGAATTTCAGAATAAACTTAAGTTATCTTTTATTTCAAACATTTTTTGATTTAATGAAATATAGAAATTTTTAAGGTTTTAATATTTTTTTAAAATATTGATTTTATAGGCTAGAATTATTTAGTTAATATTTAAAAATTTTTTTTCTAGATAAATCTGAGTTGGTTTCAATGAGTGTTACTGAACAGTGGTGGTTGACCGAGTATGCTACAGAAATACACGACCATCTTCGAAAGAAGGAACTGCAACGAGCTGTTTACCATGCACGGTGCCCACATTTGCCTATTCGAAGACGCACGATAAATTGGCTAACTGATGTTTGCAGGAAGATAAATGTTTGTCGGACTGTTAAGCATATGGCAGTTCATTTTCTTGATTTTTCCTTGGATGGCTCTAATATTAATCATAACTTGTTGCATTTACTGGCATTAGTTTGCATTTTTGTAGCAGGTATTGTAATTTTATATTATAATTTTTACTGGCAGTGAAAGTTGAATTTTAAGTAACTTGATTCAAATATTATTCTACTAACTAATATAAAGGTAATATCTAAAAAATATGTATATTTTTTAAAATAGCTAAATTAGAAGAAAAAGATGACTTGATCCCAAAGGCCAGTGAACTTAATAAATATTTAGATATTCCATATAAACTTAGTGATTTTATGAGAATGGAGTTATTGCTACTGGAATTCTTTCATTGGGATTTACTCATGCCAACAGCAGCACATTTTGTAGATTATTATAGTGTATTTTCTCTGTCTACAACAGATTTGGTTTCTGGACAAAAAATAAAATCATTTAATGCAGCAAAGCAATTACTTGAACGATATATTAATTATTTTTTGGATATTTCTTTACAAGGTATGGATTAAATTTTATTATTTAAAAGTTTTGCTTTATTAAATACTTCTCTATATGATGATATTTCTATATTTTTATTGATTTTATATAGTCAAGAGGACAATACTATTTTTAAGTCTGGATATATTAGATCAGTAGTTCTTAAACTTTTTTGAGCTGTGTCTTTCTGACGACAACAGTTATAACTTGTAGACCCATGTACTGTACAGTATACCCTCAATCCCTGTTTCATAGAATAAATTTTTCCACCATAATCATTTTTATCTTTAATTTTTTTCCATATCCTATATATCCACAGTAATTTTATTTAATGAAAATATCACTTTTGTTCCTGGGCCCTCTAAGAAGCTCTGTATTAGACTACCCAGGTAATAACTGCCCAATATCAGGTACTCATTTAAAATTGTTTATTATAAATTGGTAAACATTTTCTTCTAAATTTTTCTCATCATATTTTTAAGTTAATCCCTTTTCTCTGTTCTTAATTTAAACATACAGGTAGGCCTCCTACAATGCGTTTTCGCTCCAACGCGTTTGGAAAAATGCAGAAATTTTCTTACAGTGCGGTACTTTTACAATGCAGTTTGTTATTTAGAAACGAATTATCTTTCACATAACAGAAAAATTTGTCCACGTTGACATGTTATTCCCATGAAAGTTTCAGGGAAAGACTGGTTTCTAGACATATGTGCATCAGTTACCATAAACACTCAAATATATCACTGAATTTTCGATAATTTATACTCTTTCAATAGGTGGGGACTGCAAAAATGATCCAAAATACAGTATAAACTTCTATTGGGTGTATATTTTTAACAACATAGTGAAGGGAAGTTATTTTTTTGCGATTTTTTTTACTGTCCACAAAACTGCTTGAAAAAATTTTAGCCATAACAATGTCGAATGAAAAGAAAGCACCGTCATTAGAAAGGAAATTTATTAATATATCTCTTCAAAGATAGAAATTTTGGATTGAATTAAAAATCAAGAGTGGATAGCTGATATTGGTAGGTATTTTAATTTGAATGAGTCAACTATTCGATCGATTAAGCAATAGGAAGAAAAGATTAGGAATTCAGTCGCATCCGGATCATCTATTCTTGCGAAAAATGTTGCTCATCCGACAGCACCTACAATGAAAAAAATAAAAAAATGGAACAAGCGCTAATATTATGGGTAGAAGATATGAACAAACAGTTGCCTTTAAATAAAAGTGCAGTTAAACACAAAGCCTTAAAAATATTTGATTATTTAAAAGAAATGGGACAGTCGTCAGCTGATGAAACCAGTGTTAAATTTGTGGCTAGCAATGGCTGGTTTGAAAAATTCAAAAAATGCCATTCAAACGGCAAGTTTTTCTCTTTTTAGAACCGAATCCCAGTTTTTGTATTAAGTTGGTGTCTCCTGTAACGTGATTTCCCACAACACGGTATTTTCAAGGAACGTATCTACCGCGTTGTAGGAGGCCTACCTGTATTTTTTCTAGTGAATCATTATTACAATAATATTTTTAAAGATTAAGAATTCTAATTAAAAATTTTATTTTGAAAAACTGAAATATAAAATAAGACGTTTTTATTATATAAAAATAATTTATTGCCCCCAATCCTTAAAACAATGGCTGAAAGGGGTGGAAAATTCAACAAATCCTATAAACCATTAGAAAGGTATTAACTTATTAAATTTGTCCCTTAGTGAATTTCCTGAATTTTACATAAATAATAATAAACTGGAAAAAATTAATTAGAAACTAAATTTTAGTACTTCTGATTTGTGTAAAAAATTAAATTTTAATTTAACTTGTATTCTATAATTTTATTTATTGCGTGCAATGAATTTGCTTGTTTTCCACATTTACACTTTACTGTGAGTTGTGATTTTCTTACTATTGAAACTTCTATTGGTATCATTTTAGTTTATTAAATATTGTGTATATGTTTTGTAAAAACTTTTTAACAAATAAAATTACATTTAAAAATATTAGACTAATACCTGCTGTGTGTAATTCTAAGGTAAGAAAGTGTTTTTGATAAAATTTTAAATAAGAATATTTGAGAAAATTAATCTCTTGTAACTAATACAATAATTTTTATTTAGAATATTATTAAGAGTTAACCATGTAATTTTAAAAATGATTTGCAGCTGTTGGTAAAAAGAAGTAAATGTCTATTAATTGTTGGAACATTAAAATTAACTTAAAAATGAAAGTTTTTTTCATGCCCAACTTATAAAGAAGGATGATTAAAAATATGGCATATTTTAATCACTCAAACTGTACTTTTTTCCCTCTTCTTTTGTAACCCTGGATAAATGTTGTCTATACCCATAAACCAAATAAATCAGTTGAAATGTGGATTCACCACTACCAAAGAAAGTAAAGATGTAACCTCTGGCTGGGAAAGTCATGCTCTGAGAGGTTATCATGGCTGATTACTTACTAAAAGGACAGCCTGTCACCAGAGACTACTGTTGTAATCTCTTGGTCAAGTTAAAAAGATGTCTGGCTCCTTCATGACAGTGTGTCCAGTGATGTTACTACTGGAATTTCAACAATGTCAGATGAATTAATTGAACTCGGAAAATTCCTTTTTGAAATTGAATTTTGACTGAAAAAATGAATGCAGTTTTGGTTATTAGTGCAAAATAAACACCCAGCCCTTTTTATTGCACTTGGATACTACTACTACTACTACTACTACTACTACTACTACTACTACTACTACTACTACTACTCTGAGAAATAACTTAATATCCATATATCCAACTGGCTATTGATTTTAAATTTGTTTTTATTTGAAAGAAGTCTTTTTTTTAAATTTTATATTTTAGATTTTTTTCAGTTTTTTATTTAATACAAGCCATATTTTTAATCACCCTTCTTTACTAGTTAAGCAGGTCATGAAAAAATTTCATTTTAAATGGGTCCTAGAGCCGTATTCTGGTCACTTATCTCTCATCTCTTCTTTCAAGGATGAATGACTTCAAAACTTGAGACGAAATTTGTCTTTCAGAGAAAGTGGCGATTCTGGTCACTTTTAATAATCTCGTCTTTGTTGATGACATCACGATTCTACTAGGTTGATTATACATGTTTGGATTATCTGCGCACACAACACACTATAGAATTTTAACCAATGAAATTATAAAACTTTTGAAATTGCAGAGTATGTAATTACAGATCATGTGGCAAGAAAAGCATGTGTTCAAATAAAGCACATAATTTTGACAAAGTTATGTTTTTTGTTTTATAACATTTTTACAGATTGTAATGTCAATTTGTCTCTTAGGTTATTAAAATTTTTATTTGTTAAGTTAGAAAAGCATATGTACTTAAGATATTTTTTGAAAAATGGATTTCTGCACATGTGTTTCCCTAGTCATCTTTAAAAAAAGATTGAAAACTAATTATCGCTGTCCAGTAAGTGGTTCTAGAAAGTCCTTTTTTATTGTTACACATCTGCATGCTACACCAGGATATTTTTCAGAAATGTAGTAAGTGTTTAGTGATTTTATATTGAATAAAATATATCCAGTTCATCAAATCTCTTTTCAGCATAACTGTATTACTTTATTTATGTAAAATGTTTAAAAGGGAAGAAATTTTTCAATAATAAAAATCCAATGAAAATAATCCAACATATTACTTATTTTTAAATTTTATTTTTAGAACCATTTTTAAATGTGTTTAATTTTTAACTGTAAATTTAAAATATTTTTCCATAATTTTTCAGATCATTCATTTTTACAATTTCCACCTTCACTTGTTGCCACTTCCTGCATTGCTGCAGCTAGAGTATGCCTTATATTATCACCAATGTGGCCAGTATCTCTTCAGAAGTTAACTCAATACAGAATTGAACAGTTAGCTCCATGTTTAAGTATCATGCTCAAGTAATGAAATTTTTTAATTTTTAACATTATAAATATATAAAATCTTATCTATATATATATATATCAATTAAATCCTATAAATACAATACTAATATTGTATGTGGGGGGTACATTTCATATAGGGTATTCACTGAAAAAGATCTTTGTGTTACACAAATATGTTCATATGGTGCATTAGTTCCATAGCAATGTTTACAGTAAATTAATTCAAAAAGGAATGTGTGTAAATCCATGCAATAGTATAGTCAATACCTAAATTTTTTCAAACATTAGGTAATGCAAATTAAAAAATACAATTTTGACAAATCATGATGACACACAATGTCGATGTCGTTATGAAAGAACCAACACCATGTAGTCAATTAATTGGTAGAACACTAAAACACTACTGTAGAATTATGGATTATAGGAGAAATGACACAAAATGCATGATAAGCAGTACCAAGCTTTCCATCTGCACAAGAGTTTTGAATGCAATATGCCTCTTTATGCAAACTTGTAGCTAGGGCTGGATAGTCTGCATTCCTCTCGACTCCAGAGTTGATATATTCAGCTTTCTTAATGACACTCACTCCTTAGTTATATAACTGTTAGCCACCATTTCATCACTGACTTGTAATTCAATAGCAAGGCATTGGTGGTCTAGTGATAGAGGATTGCAGTGATGGTTTTTTTGTTTTATTCAAAAAGACTTTGTAGATTTTTGTAAATTTCTTGCAATTATCCAGTTCTTCCCAAATGTGGACCCAAATATCCTGTATTACATTAATAAGTGAGGCCTTAGGTAGATTAGCGGTTCCCAAACTGTTTTGATTCTTGGGAAAACATGCATTTAGCAAGGACATCAAGTTGCCCTATGTTAAATTCTAATAAGTACAATTTGCAAAATAGGAAATAACCAATATTTTTTAAAATTAAAGAATTAGGACATTAAGTAAAAAATAAATAAAACACATATTTAAGATAACAAAAAACATAATTGAACAAATTCAAATATAATTAGCGAGATGGATAAGCATATTGATCACTGTATACTTTCTCAAATCTTTGAATCAAAGAAGACACAGCCACCCTCATTTCCTTCTCCACATTGATTTTCGTGTGATACTTAGTTTTTATTATAGAAACAGCTGAAAGCCCAGCTTTTCACAAATAAGAAGTTGTGAATGAAATTAAAATTCTGAGCTTTACCACTCAGAAGGGGATATTCATATTTTACTGATATCCAAAATTCAGTTAATACATTGAAAAAAAAATTTAGCAGCATGGCATTATCTCAAGACAACTCAGTAGGATTCTCTTCAGCAGTAAATTCAGATGGAGTACTGACATTAAATGGATCTTGAATCAGTGCAAATTTATTGATATCATTTTGAAAATATTTTTCAAACCAGGTGATAAGCTGTGATGATTTTCAAAAATGGATTTCATATCTCAAGAAAAATCAACTCCATTGGAGGCCAAAAACTGTTGCAACAAGGAGAGATATTATTTTCCTCTGTCTTTATTTATTTTTCTTGTCCATAGCTTTAATTTTTTTTAAAGCTGAAATTTTCTTAATTAACTTCAAAAGGTGCATGTTGCTTCCCTGCAGGGAGAGATTGAGAACATTTGCTTCTCAAAAATATCAGATAAGTACAGGGGTCACTCTGGAAAATTTAAAAATATTGCCAACATTTTGCCAGTTTTGACTTTTTTTACCACTTCAAATTATTTATCGCCACCAGTTTTAATTACTAATTAATGCAGGTGCTGGTAACCTTAATAAGTTTGGCGTCTGGAAAGGAAAAGTAAGGTGTCACTTACAAGAAGAGGGCCTCAGGTCTCCGATTCCAATGAAACTTGATAAGCATATAGCCTTTAACACAAACAGGTCCTTGTCCAAATGATATGATCCACTTCTCAAGCATTTCTAAAATTGGGCCTCTGAAAGTTTAGTGTTTTTAAATGCTTATAAATCTTTGAAAATTTCTTGGCTCTGAATGGCAATAGTTGAGTGGATAAAACACTAGGCACTGGACTTAGACAATATAAGCTTGAACCTTTTGGAATCTTAGTTTAGTTTTTTTATTTTGTTGCATTATTATTGGGCAGAAATTTGAAAAAATTGTAGAACTATAAATTCCCACTGTTGTCTGTCTGTCTGTCCATCTTTCCTTAATCTCGAGAATGAAGTTAAATAGATGAAAGACCAAACCAAATATGGAAACTGTAGGGGGCAGAAGATCCTGATTAACTATCTACGAACTTCCAATGCAAACCGGTAGTCACATTATTTCAATTCAAAGAATTTCCTCTGAAAGGAGTTAGGTAAATCACTGGCACAACTCTATTGTTAAAGGAAAACTGTGTACAGGGGCAAGTCACTACTAATTTGAGATGGTAAGCATATATTTTAAATTAAATAAATTGTCAGAAATGCCAGGCTGCAATTTTTAATGTCACAATAAATAATTGCTTATTACTGTTATTATTTCTCATGTTTTAAAGCTTATAGAACAAGAGATTTAAAATTGTGACATCATTTCCTTTTTAGCAAAAACGAGTCTCTGTAGATTTGACTTTTTGAAATATAAAGAAATTTTTTTATTTCTTTATATTTATTTCTGGCCGACCTCAAATGTATTACAAGTGTAAAACTTTCAGACATTTACAGGGTGAATGTACTGCAATAAAATGTAATAATTTCCATAAATACGGACACTCTCCTGAGAATAGTGCAGATGCATAATGGTTATTCGAACAAATGAAGAACTTATGGACAGTCATAATGGACACGAGACATGAAGGACATTTTTCAGGAACCTGAAAGTAGTGAAATAAAAATAAGAATAGAAAAGGAATTGTCAACATTAGAACCCATGCCACGATGAAAATAAGAGGAAACTGGATAAGTGAAGGTGATAAACAGAACAAATTGCATTCAGACAAAAGGCACACAAATTTCCCTATAACATACTCCAGAAACAAAGAAAATGTAAACTTAAGTTAATAAATTGGAGATGTCTTTAAAGAATATTGTCAAAAGAAGGAGAAAAATTAAATTTATTTCAAACCTAAAATCTCAGGAATTAAAAAAAAACTGCAACACACCACCCACTTATGAAATTATAACTATGAATAAATATGAAATATTAAATCTCAATACTGAAGATGAACAGAATAATACAAATCCACCCAGCAATAATATTGAACCAGAGGTCATAATCTACCCAGAATGAATAAGACTAAAAATTCTTTCAGTAAATATCAACAGTTTAAATAATAATCATAAACAGCAGATTTTTATTCATCATCATCTAAGTAATAAAATTAATATTGCACTAATCCAAGAATTAATACTTAGTGAGAATAAAAATTTTCAGCAATTGCTTGTAACACCAATAAGTTTTATCAATGCATATGGTCTCACAGGAGCAGAGGTATTGGAGGGACAGTGATTTTTGTTAAATACAGTATCAACATCTTATACCAAACACATGACAATTATAGTCACCTTGTACTATCTGATATAAAGATTCACTTGAGATACAGAGAATTATTTCTGTCTATTGCTTGTTAGGCAGTAGACAATTGTATCTTGTCTAAGGCAAGATGTGCAGGATCAACAGCCTATTTAGAATCAACTCATGATATTCTTTTAGGTGGTGACTTCAACTTTGTCAAGAGAGATATAGATATAATAGGAAACACCAGAAACAAAAGGAAAATTAAAATTTTCCAGACCCTGAAAGATCAGTTTGGCCTTAGACATACAGCGTAAAATGAACCCTCATAAACATGAGTTATTTTGGCAGTAGAGGGTGGCTGTGTCATAAACATGAGTTATTTTGGTAGGTAATACTGCCAAAATAACTCTCATTCCAGGTTGGATAAATTCTAATTTCCAGTCACCTCCAACATCACAATGTGAAATCATCCCTAATCATTTAACAAACCATGTTGTTCTAATACTTGACTCCACTAAGCAGAGATGCAAATTCAAACGTAATTTAACTACATCCTGGAAAATGAACACTAGCTTACTGAAAGATGTCGACTTTCTCTCCGACACAACCCAAGTGGTTTTTAACATCAGAAAAGAAAAGGCTGTGCTTGGACTGTGATTTATGAAAAGCATTGCAATAAGTATAGAAAAGGAAATACAACTTTGTAAACATTACAATGACAGGGTACATGAGTTAAAGCAAGCATATAAGGACAAAACCATAGATCCAGGTAAACATCAGATAGACATAGCAAAAGCAAAAGCCAAGCTGAAAATTTATTGTAAGAAATGCCTATATGCAGTGTTTATATGATCCCATGAGGAATTATATGAATAGGAAACTCATCCATCCAGGAAATTTTACCAAATGGAACCGAAGCACATTGTCTAAAAAGATGAATGCAATAATAAATGAGGAGAATTAAATTTTAAGAGATGAAGAAGAAAAAAGAAAATTCATTCACCGATGATATTCAAAAATATTTAAAAGAAAATGTTTTGACCAAGAAAAGGCACAGGTATTTCTGTCCCAAATGCCAAACAGATAATTGAGTTAAACAAAAACATCACTATCACTGGATAGCAGCACTATTTGTAGTGCTGCTATCCAGAATGCATAGCAGCACTACAAATAAGAAATCATTAGGACCAGATGGGCCACCTGTAGAATTTTATAAACAAGTTTTCCTTCTGATAGAACAATGATGTACTAAGACGATCAACAATGCACTGAAAAACTGACAAACTGATCAATAGCTTTAATTGTGGAATAATTACTCTCATTCTTAAAACCAATAAGAAGGAAGAACAAGCGAAAATTACAAACTGGAAACCCACATGACTACTAAATATTGATTTACAAGATTCTCACTAAAGTCTTAACTGCTAGATTGCAGACCTGCATCTCTCTAATTATTGACAATCACAAAGCTGCGGCATCAAAAACCAGTCCATGCATTCTAATATTTTTCTCTCTCATACCCTCTACGAACTAGCCAACTAATGCTATATG